TGATGTCTCATCCCTAAATCACAACATCCCTCCAGAATATCCCGGGCTTCTCCAGGCCTGAAACCCCTCCTGAAAACTGGGATAGGTCTGGAAGTACCAAAAACAGCTTTGGGGAAGGAGGAGACTCTTGTTCAGCAGGAATTCCCTCCGTGCTGGGCACTGGAGAGGGGAATGGCCAGGGCTGTGCCCAGTTCTGGGCAAGAGGGGCTGAGGTGGGTCCAGAGAAGGGAACAGAGCTGGGAAAGGGCTGGAGAATCCTGAGGGAGCCGGGAAAGGGGCTCAGCCTGGAGAAAAGGAGGCTCGGGGGGGAATTCTGGCTCTGAACAAGTCCCTGACAGGAGGAGCAGGTTGGAATCAGGAGGAATTTTTTTCCTGGGAAGGGCAGGAGCTGCCCAGGGGGGTTTGGGGTCACCTGGAGGTGTCCAAGGAATTCCTGACCGTGACCCTCTGGGCTGGGGACAAGGTGGGGATCAGGCACAGCTTGGACTCGATGGCTTTGGAGGACTCTTCCAGCCTCAGGGATTTTGGGATTCGCCTGGAATCGCCATTGGCTCGTTCCTCTTCGAACCGGCCAAAACACTCTGGGGCCGGGAAGAAACTCCAAGGTTTCCACAAACAGCTGGAATTCTTATTTTGGGAAGGAATAAGCCCTGCCCTGGGCTTATCCAGGATTGGCAAGGAGCTTAATTATGTGGTTGAGTCTCAGCCCGGGAACAATTCCGGAGCCGTGGTTTTATTCCCGGTGCTGCCGGAGGAGGAGGAGGAGGAGGAAGAGGAGGAAGAGGAATCCCACGGGAGCCCTCGGTGGTGCCACACTGTGGGGGGCTGGCAGACCCCCGGGACTTTCTCCAGAGCTTCAGGAACACCCTTTTTCATGTTCAAAATAATTTCCCCTGATCTCCAATTAGCTCCTAATTGGCCAGCAAATCCCGGTGCTATTCAGCCTCACACGGAGATAATTTGGGATCCTCCCTGTACCTTTCTGCTGCGTGGGCGGGGAATTCTTTAGGACCACGGGACTTGCTTGGCCCTTTTTTGTCACTGCTCGTGGAAGACACTGGAATCATGAAACAGGCAGCAAATCAGGCTGAAATCCGGATTTCCTCATCTGGGAACTGCTGTGGGTTTGTCAGTGTGGAAAGGATTGGGAAACAGAAATATTTCCTTTCCTCCCGAGCTCTCCTGCCTTTGATTTGTCTTTGTGCACGTTGACCGAGGTTCTGTGGTGGCCACGGGGCCATCCAGAGCCCACCCACATTTGCTGGTACCCAAACACTTTTTGGATTTTGGGATTTTGGGAAAGGTGAGAGGACAGGGCAGGTGAAGGAAGCAGGTGAGCAACCTGAAGCTTCTTTTGTGTTGCTAAACTTGTGCCGTGATCTAGAACAGCATCAGGGCAAGCTGTGCCAGGGCTTGGTCTCTGCTCCTTAATTGGGTTTTGTTCTGGCCTCGGCAGAAATGTGGTCAATGACCTCTGGGGAAAAAAAAAAGACTCGAAGGAATTTTTGGCTCCTGGCATTTCCCTGTGATCATTTCCTTGTGTTTTAATTGCTCTGAGTTCGTTAACAACGGGCACCTCTACATTTTGTGTTTGGCCACCTTCATGTGCCTTGAAAATGAGATTTGGAATGCGGGGGGCTCAGGGCAAATCCCAGATTTGGACAAGGATCCATCCCTGCTCCAAAAACAGGGAGGGAGCTGCTGCCTGCACCCTTTTCAGCAATGCCAGAAATTTCTGATGCTCCTGACGCACTGGAGAACGATCTTATCACGGTGACATCCACTTGGTGGATGGCAATACCGGAGCAATAAATTACCCAATTCGTTTTAATTACAAGCTGAGAAGAAATTCAGCAGCTCGTTGTGTAAGGATCGAGCAACGCCCCTGGCACGACCCAGAGCTCGGGCAGGGCTGGGCACGGCGTTTCTCGAAAGGCTGGATGGGGTTTTGCCACCAAGGGCGGCGTTTTGGGGCCAAATAGTGAATAAAAAGTTTTTTTTTGTTTGTTTGTTTGTTTTGTTTGTTTTTTTATGGGGCTTTTTGGCTCAAAACCTCTCCCAAATTAGGGATTGTGGCTGCTCAAATGTAGTCACAGACTGATCCAGACACGACTGTGCCAGCAGTGAACAAAGAGTTTATTTCAGCACCCGCAGAGAAGCTCAGGACAGGTTACAGGGCTCACCAGGGGTAAGGGAAGGAAAAATTTCCATGGGAATTGCTGGGGACATGCAAAGCTCTCCGAAAGCAGCACAGGATCCGGGATGTTCCTGTGGATCACCTGCAGGATCCTGGGGATCACCTGCAGCTGATGGAGCCGTCACTTCATGTTGGAGGACACTTGGTAGATTTGCTGCTGGCACTGCTGCGGCCTTCCCTGGCAGGATCCTCCGGTGGTCCCGTGGCAACCGGATCCGCCACTGCTGCCATGGCAACCGGATCCGCCACTGCTGCCATGGCAACCGGATCCACCGCTGCTGCCATGGCAACCGGAGCCGCTGTTTCCATGACAGGATGCGCCACCGCTACCGTGGCAACCGGAGCCGCTGCTCCTGTGGCAACCGGAGCCACTGGTCCCGTGGCAACTGGAGCCACTGGTCCCGTGGCAACCGGAGCCGCTGGTCCCGTGGCAGGAGGCCCGTTCCTGCTGGTGGCACTGGTCCTTGTCCTGGCGGGAGCACATGGCTGGAAACCTGCCGGGAAAACTCGCCCGTGAGAGAAGGCAACGGCCAGGGATGCTGGAAGAGTCCGAGGAGGCGTTGGATGGGACTTGGAGAACCCTGGGATAGTTCTGGGGGGCTGTCCCTAAAATCAGTGAGCTTCCAACTCGACCCTTTCCCACGATTCCATAATTCCACGATTCCACAATTCCAAGCCTAATTATTGATCAGCGGAGGCGTTATCACAGCACCCCTGCCCGTGGTGGCTTCTTTGGGAAAACCTTCCCCTTTCACATCAGAGAGAAAAAAGGAGAAGAGCTGGACAGAGCCCAGAGCGAGACACGCGGAGCCCTCAGCCGCCAAAACCAGGAATTTTTACAATTTTCCTAATTTTCCTACTCGGAAGAAGCGCCGAGATGGAGACAGGACGCGGAGCAGAAGCGCCCAAGAGCTCGGGAGAGGGGAGAAGCCTCGGAGCCTTAAAAGTGCGGAAATCGGAGGGGTCTGCACTCACCTGGATCGGGAGGAGCTCGGCAGGAGACGCTGAGGATCTGAGAGGCTGAGGAGCGACGAGGAGCGAGCGCTTTTATGGCCCGGCCCGGGTTTCTCCTCCGGAAACGCGATGGGGCCCCACTGGAGGGACCTGATTGCTCAGCACCCCGAGCTCTTGGCTAATTGGGAGTTTTTGCGCTGCTGTTTTGACTCACTGGAGCTGATCGATATCCCGACATCGCTCTTGTTACCCCATTAAAATGTTAATTGCCCACCACGCCTGGCCCGGGGGGCTCGGGGCTGGGATGGGTTTTTGTCACCTTTTGACGCCTTTTTGTTGCCTTTTGGCTGTGGCCCAAAGCCCAAACTGAGGAGTTAGAGGGTGAGCTTGTGGGGTTGTAAAGGAAATCCAGAAATTAAGGGGAAAGGGAACAAAAAAGGGCACGGTGGTGGGTAGTAAAAATAAACGTATTTGGACAGGGTGTAGCATCAAAGAAACAACAACAATTCTTGGATAAAGCCAACAAAGAGGCACTAAATCGGGGTTGGAATTTTTCAAGCCGGTCTTTTCTTTACTCAAAGTCTTTCAAGCCAAGCAGAAGGAATTGAAAGCCCCGTAGGATGTGGGAAATGTCCCGGTAGGAGCTGGAGGACATCGGGATCTGCAAAAAAAGTGTCTTTGTGCCCATGGAGAGCTCCAGGCCTGATCTCCCACAGGACTCTAGAGGCCACTGTGATATTAAAAATAGCCTGGATTGAATTAAAATAAAATCAAACCCAGCTTGCAGGAGACTCCTTGGTCCCCAGTGGAGCTGAATCACCGGAATTGATGGATGAGGAAATCCGAGCACGACTCGGGACATTTCACAAACATCGGGAGAGTGGGAATCCTTGTGAAACTCATTATTCACGATTAATTACAGCCCTGATTCGGTGCACGGGGATAAACCTGTTCCATCGGAGATGGAGACAAACACCTGAGCAGGAGCTGGGGGCCCAGGTGTGGGACAGGAAGGTGCTGACCCTGTCCCTGTATCCCCTACAAAGCTCCTGCTCCTTGGACAGGCATCCCTGGATCCATTCGGAGCAGGAAACGACTTTTTTTTGGGGGAATTTATTGGTTTGATGAAGGAATTGCCTCTGCAGAGGTTGGCAGGGGAGGCTCAGGGCAGAGTCAGAGGCTCCAGATCCCTGCTCTTCCCCAAAAATCCTCTCAGGGGGTTCCTCTCCAAACCCCACAAGACCCCACCAGGAATTTGGGGTCTTTCACCCTGTTGGAGCCATTCCCAAATCCTCTTCCTGCCTTTTATGCCCAGGGCTTTTTTTTTTGGAGGTTTATGGAGCAAACCCAGCTGTACCCGTTGCCTCACAGTCCCAAACATCCCCTCTGCTTTTTCCCCCTCTCTGACGAAATGCGGATTTTTCCTCACACAACTTTATTAATATTTAATTACTCTCTTGCAGAACCACTCCGTGATGAGAACTGTTACTTTACAGACCAGGAATCTGCCTGGAGTGGGAATGAGGAGCCACCAGGTGGAACCAACCCGGAGCCTCCTTGCGAGGCAGCTGCAAACCCAGCTTTGGCCACCAGAAGGACCAGAAACCACTGAGAGAGACGAAGAGGAAAAAAAACACGGATGCCGGGGGATGGGGTTTGAGCCAGCATTTTTTTTTTTTTTTTATTGCCTCCACATCTTCTGTGGAACAAGCGAAGAGAATTTTAAATTCCACAGCGCCAGTGGGTCACAGCTTGCGTTACAAGAGCAGAGATGGGTGACAGCGCAGGGCAGGGACACGGCACGAGAAGGGGACAAATTCCTTTTGTTTCCCCTCGCTCCTCACGGCCTTTATTTGATCTTCCGGGCTGGAACTTTGCAGATCTGCTTCTGCTGCTGGTTGGGGATGCCCTTGGCTACGGGGACACAGCTCTGCTGGACCGGAGGGGGACAGGGACAGGGACAGCTCTGAACTGGTGGGGGACAGCTCTGAACTGGGATGCTCTGCACTGGCTGGGGACAGCACTGCACTGGTGGGGGACAGCTCTGAACTGGGATGCTCTGCACTGGTTGGGGACAGCACTGCACTGGTGGGGGACAGCTCTGAACTGGTTGGGGACAGATCTGAACTGGGATGCTCTGCACGGGCTTCCCACAGCACGGCTTCCCACCCTGGGCCACCGCCCCGTGGCACCTCTCGGCACACACGGACCTCCCGTAGCCCTGACACCCCCCTGAACCCCCGTAGGACACCGTGGGCCTCCTGACACAACTGGACCCCCCTCCATGACACGAACCCGACGAGCCGTGGCACCTCTCAGCACACACAGACCTCCCGTAACCCTGGCACCCCCCCGAACCCCCGTAGCTGTACGTCGGTCTCCTGACACAACCGTGGCAAGAACCCGAGGAGCCCGAGGAGCCGTGGCAGCGCTCGGCGCAGCGGGGCTGGCGGTAGCCGTAGTGTCGGTAGTCGTGGCCCCTCATGCCCTCGACGCCCTCGCCCTGGCAGCCCGGGGAGCAGCAGTTGGAGTAGCCGTAGCGGAAGGGCGTGCGCCGCGTGTCCAGCCACGAGCCCGACGGGTCGTACCACGTGGAGTTCAAGTTGAAGTAGGATTCTCTTCCCGATGAGTAAATCATGGTGGGGCTGTGGGGGGAAAAAGCTGGAGGAAAGGGGGGTTGGTGTCAGCAAAATCTGGTCTGGGTGTGTTTGATTTCCCCGTAGAACGGCGGGGTTTATCCGGAGATAAAGCGGGTTTGTCCTGGGTCCAGAGGGAATTCCTGTAGTTGCCCAACAATGGTCAGATTCCATCTAAATTGCATCCAAATTGCATTCAAACTGCATCCAAACTGCATCTAAACTGGATCCAAACTGGATCCAAACTGCATCCAAACTGGATCTAAACTGGATCCAAACTGAATCCAAACTGGATCCAAACTGCATCCAAACTGGATCCAAACTGCATCCAAACTGCATCTAAACTGGATCCAAACTGCATCTAAACTGGATCCAAACTGCATCTAAATTCTATCTAAACTGCATCCAAATCTCTTCCTGTTCTTCTCTTCCCGATTTTTCACCTCCAAAACCAACCAGAGTGGTGGCACTGCTGTAATTCCCACCCTCAAGTCCCTCAAGAGCTTCTCCCGTGGCTCAGAGCCTGGTCTGAAGGTCCAGGTGTGCCCTCCCAAATCCAGACCCCCAAATCCAGACCCCCCCAAATCCAAGCAGGGACCAGGCTGAGTCTCACCAGCTCTGAATCAAAGGCAGGTGTTGAATGTGAGCAGAATGTGAGAGGCCAAGGGGCCCGGGGCTTTTATAGAGCTCTGAGTGCTCCCCTGCCCGTGAAACACTCAGCAGGAACGAGGATTAAATTATTTATTGGCAAAACATCTCCTCCGTTTGGATGCTGTTCCCGGTGCCTGGCATGTTCTGCTTGACTCACGATTTCTGATAAGCATCTTTTAATTATAACATCGCTCCCCAGCCGGGCACATAAAAGAGTGACACGGCCCAAGCCACACTTTGGCTGTGTGAGACGGGTAATAAAGGAATTATTCAGCCTCTGCAGGGGACAGGACACTGACGGGTGACCTGTGAGTCAGGAACGGTGATGGCACCGCTCTGGAGGAGCCATTTCCAGGTGAAGCACGAGCAGGTGATGGGGAAGAGCCAGCTCAGAGTCACCAAAAGCAAATTGTGCCCCCTCGGTTTCGGTGATGAGGGGGTGAGGGCGGGGAGAGCCTGACACGACTTTTCCAGGGAATTCCTGGTGCCTCATTGCTGGAAGTGTCCAGGTTGGACAGGGCTGGGAGCCTGGAAGGTGTCCCTGCCTGTGGGACTTGGAGCCAGATGATCCCAAAGGTCCCTTCCCACCCAAACCATTCCCTGATCCTGTTTCTCCTCCATTTCTGATGATCCCAAAGGTCCCCTCCAACCCAAACCATTCCCTGATCCTGTTTCTCCTCCATTCCTGCATTCCAGACGTGCCCCTCACCCCAACCCCAACGTGGTTTTTGAGGTCCCCTCCAGTCCAAACCATTCCCTGATCCTGTTTCTCCTCCATTCCTGCATTCCACATGTGGAATTCCTCACCCCAAGATGTTTTTTTGAGGTCCTTCCCAACCCAAACCGTTCCACCATTCCACGTTCTGGTGCCCCAAATTCTGTGAGGATTTTGGCACAGCAGCCTCGGGGTTAAACTGGTGGAGGCTTGGACTGGGTGGATGAACCCTGTGGGGGTTGAAAAAGAGGCAAATTCTGGTGCTGAGGCTGTTTAATACCTTAATTAAATCCCTGGATAAAGGGATGGGCTTGGAAAATCCTCGGGTGGCACCGAATTGGGGTGAGGGGCTGGAATTGCTGGAGGAACAGTCCTGGAACTGGGGTAACTGAGGTGGGGTAACTGGGATAACTGGGATGGGATAACTGGGGTGCAAGGGCTGGTGAAAAGCAGCTTGGAAGATGAACTGGACCAAACTGGAGCTGGAAGTGAGGGCAGAGCTGGCCCTTGGTCTGTGGGCTCTGAGTCAGCACCAGGAACTGGGAAAAGACTGGGAAGAAAATCCCGAATAAAAAAAAGGGCTCTCCTAAGGTAAATTCCACAGGCGAGCGGTTTTTTATTTGGCTGGCATTAGACACGAGAAAAACAAATTGTTGTGGTGAAGAAAACGAGGGTGAATTTCCCTTTTTTTCCCCTTCCCGGCTCTCCGGGGTGGTTGTGTGAGGACACGCCTGGGCACAAAGAAACCAAATAATTTATTTTTTAATGCACTTCGTGGGAGGCTTTTTTTTGGCGAGTTGAGGAGAAGGAGCAGCTCAGCCGTGTGCCTGCACCTCCCGGCAGGAGCGAAAAGGCATCCCCGGCATGCTCGGCCACACCTCCCGCGCTCATTATCGTAATTAACATCTCAGTGAGGATTCTTCCATCCAGGGGATGATGGAATCCAGATGTTGGTGCCCGGGTTGGTTGGGAACCACGGTGGGGAGGATTTTCCTGGAGGAACAGCTGCAGCCAGAGCTGAAAGTCTCCCGTGTGAACCCTGGCTCTGATTTAAGTGCACGAGTTTTAATTTAAATGCTCGAGTTTTAATTTAAATGCTCGAGTTTTAATTTAAATGCACGAGTGAGTTTTAATGGCTCTCAGCATCTCGTTGCAACGTCGGTGATGTTTGTGCGGGCAAGAAAGAGAGGAACCAAATTTGCTCAATATTTTTCAGCTTTATTCTTGAATACACGGGGAGGAGATAAAACCGCAGGAATCCGCGGTGCTCCTGCCGTCACAGCGGTTCCCTTTTTTCCCTTTTTTCCCTCGCAAAGTCCTGGGGCTGCTTTCAAACAACCTCGAAACCAGAGCCCAGTGAGAAGGGAAATCCGTGGAAATCCGGAACACCCATCCGCTGCTTCCCCAGGGAAAAACCAAAACGCGGCAGGTTTAAATTCCGGCCGGGAATTTAAAGTGTCAGTGCTGGGGATGGCCCGACCCCGAGCGTGATGTGCAAAGAGCAGCGAGGAGCGCAGGGCGGGGGTCGGAGCATCCTTTGGGGGGGGGGGGGGGGTGAGCGAACCCTCCACGAGTTGGGGAGGGGTCTCAGGGGTTCAGTTCTTCACGCACAGCGGCACCAGGGTCACTTTGTGCTGCTGCTGGTGGTGTTGGTGGCCGGGATGTGGTGGCAGCGGGACAGCGGGCGGGCAGCAGCGGGGAACGACCCGGGGGCAGCAGCGGGGCACGACCCGGGGGCAGCGCTGGCTGCAGGGACAGCGATGCTGCAGCGGCAGAGGCTGCAGCACCACCGGGGGCTCCTCATCCTCCTCCGGGCACTGCTCCACTCTCCTGCGCGGCTTCCCGCAGGATTCGGGCTCCGGGCAGAGCGGGCGAGGCCGGTGCTGTTCCAGTGGCCTCCGGTGGATTTTCACGGGCGGGGGGCACACGGGGGGCACCGGGCTCACCTCCACCCTGCGCCGGGGCTTGCAGCTCTGCGGGGCTGGGCAGGAGGAGGGCTGGGGAGGGCAGAGCTCGCCGGGGTGGCAGCCCTGGGGAGGGCTCTGGCAGGAGCCCTCGATGTCGTGGCTGATGCTGCCGGGGTCGTGGCAGTGCCCGGTGGAGCTGGGCCATGTCCAGCCCTTGTGGTCGCAGCCCGGGGAGAGCGGGCACGGCTCGTGGTCGGTGCCGCCTTTCTGGTAGAGCATCCTGGGGCAGAGATCACAGAACGGGGGAGTTATTGAGGGTGGGAAGGAATTCCAGGGTCGCCCGTGCTGGATCAACATCGCCCAGCCCAGCCCAGAGTGCCACGTCCAGGAATTGCTGGGACACCTCCAGGGATGGGGACTCCAAACCTCTCTGGGCAGTTCCAATCCCTGACCTCCCTTTCCACGGGGAAATTCCTGCTGATTCCACCCTGAGCCTGCCCTGGCCCAGCTCCTCTCCTCCTGTCCCTGCTCTCTGGGAGCTGAGCCCGACCCTCCCCTCCTGTCCCCTCCTGTGCAGAGCCCGAAATTCCCCCTGAGCCTCCTTTTCTCCAGGCTGAGCCCCCCCAGTTCTCTCGGGAGCTGCTTCTCCCATGACTCACAAATCCTTTGAGCGTGACCAAGCCCTTGGGCATAAACAACCTGGGAAAAAGAAAACAACAAAACACCGACTCCTTTTTTTTTTTTTTTTTTTTTTTTTTCCTCTTTGGCCATTTCCAAGGGGAAAACTGAGGAATTTGAGAGAATCCAACTCACCCTGCGAGCAGAAACGGGCCGGGCTGAGCAGGGAGTCGGAGTCCTGGGCACAGAGCTGGGGCTGAAAGCTTTTATACGTGGCCGAGCTGTCCTGGGAATGAGGCACGTCCTGGGAATTAATAGCTGAGCACTGAGGCCGCTGCCGTGTGTGTGTGTGTGTGTTTTGTTTCTGGCACTCTCTGTCGGATTAATCAGCCGCAATTAGCGCCGGGCCAGCGCTCAGCAGGGCCAGTGGCCATTATCTCATTAGCCCTGGTCATGCTCAGATCGGCTCCTGCCTCTGAGTCAGGTGGGATCCGGGGGTGCGGATACCTGGGATGCCGAAATGCTGAGTGGTGCCCCCAAAAAAGAGGCTCCGGTGGCGGTGGGAAAACCACGGGAAAACCCAGGGTGGCCCCGGGACCGAGAGGAACAGCGGGTGTTGCTCCTGTGGGTGACAGGGAAATGGGAATCCAGAATCCCTACGGACACTGGGGGGGGGGGACAGTGGCGAGCTGGGGATGGGATTTTTGGGATGTTTATTCCCTGATTTAAACGCATTAATTCGCTCCCCAGTGGCTACGGCAAGGAAAAGCCTTTTATGTGTGGAGAGTCTGGAATGGGGACACCAGAGGAGCGATGACCTCACACAGAAACAACGCCAGGCTTTGCCAGGCACCTTCCTGTGCCACCTTTCTGGCATTTCAGCTTTGATTCACGCTCCGGGGAGCTGCTCCACTTCGCCTTTCTGTGGCCGAGACGGTTTTTTTTAAGCACCAGGAAAATTCCCGGGGTTCCCAAGGCATTTCCACGCGGAGCCTCTGTGAGGGATGCTCGGAGTTGGAATTTGGGTTTGAATCAGCGGGAAAAGCATCCGCAGAATTCGGGGGTGTGGCTCCAGGGCTGCGCTGGCACCTGACGGGGCTCTGCTGTAATTTATTCCGTAGCTACAGGAGAAGTGGAATTGCCTGGCAGGAAGCCACGGGATTTGCGTGGAAAGATGATAAAAAGACCTCAGGATCTTTTAGGACCAACCAGGATTTTAGGTTTAGAACTCATTGCCAGAGTCCCAAGTTTATGCTGGTTTGGGATTTTTTTTTTCCCTCACGTTAGAGGAGTTTTGGAGCAACTTCCCGAGGATTTCACAAATCCCCAAGTGTGAATATGGAGTTTCTGATCTCGCCTCTTAAAGTTTTCCACATTTTAATAGATTTCAGAGAAAACGACTCAGCATTTCTGAATCCTTTAAATCTGATCAGCCTGGACACGTGGGAGGTGTCCCTATCCTTTAAAGCTTTAAAGTCCCTTCCAACCAGAGCGATCCTGGTCTATTTAATTAATTTAAGAACCCTCCTTTAAAGCCCAGCAAACTCTCTGGAAAGATTCCCATTAGGAAAAAAAAATCAGCTCTGGCTTTGGGACCACAGAGATGCTTTGGTTGTGAACTGGGTCTCAGATCGGGAGAATTTCGAATAATCAAATAATCAAACGGAATTAAACTGGTGCTCCTCTTGCTGAGGTGACATTTTTCACCTTCAGGTCCCATTTTTCCCCCAGGTGAGCACCGGCCCAAGGAGCTCACCAGGTACACCGGGGCGTCGTCATCCCAGAGTGACAAACATGCAAAATTAATTACATTAATCAATTAGGCAAACGTTAAACACCCTCCCACAGCGGAGCTCCTGTTTAAGGGATAAAGAGAAATGAATAAACATAACCCGGGAGTTTGCAGGGTCAGAACTCACAAATTTTATTCTCTCTCATGGCTAATTGGAGATTAAAGAAAGAGGAGGGAACATCCCACACACCGGGAGGGGGAAGGAAGAGCAGCGCAAGAAACTCGCTGGGCAGCGGCTTCAGGGCGCAGCAAAACACCTAAAGGGGACTAAAAGCAGCAAAAAGAGAAGGCCCGAGCGTCCAAAAAGAGATTTTTGGGGTGGTGTCCACGTCCAGGTCCGTGTCCGAGCCTCAGTTGCCGCAGCAGCCGCCGCTGCCGCCGCAGCAGCCGCTGTTGTTGTTGCTGATGGTGTAGCAGCAGGACATGGGCATGCAGCAGGACTGCATGGGCATGCAGCAGGGGCTGCAGCACTGCATGGGGCTGCAGCACATGGGGGTCTTGCAGCAGCGGGGGCTGCTGTAGCAGCACACCGAGTAGCTGTTGCCACCGCCGCAGCACCCGTTGGGCATCTTGGGGGGGTTTGGTGGGGAGCTGGAAGGAGCAGAGAGAGAGAGAGGCCGTGAGTGGGAGCACGGGCTGGGTTAATTTGGGGTTCATTCGAGGATCTCTTCGTTCATTCGCATCCCCGGGGCTCCAGGAGGGGAAGCCCAGGCGTTGTTTGTAAATTGTGAAACGCACAACTCCGGGTTTTTCCCGTGGTGCAGGTGCCCAAGGATTCATTCCAGGGAAGCTCTGGTGTCTTAGGAAGAGCAGCCCAGCATTGAACCCTCACTCTGAACCCTTCTGGAATATTCTCCATCCCCTTCCCCTGCTGAAATTCCCAGAGCCTCCCCAAACATTTCCATCTCCGTAACTCCTCGTGCAGAGTTCATAAAACCCCAACATCCAAGCCCCATCCCAGACCCCCAGCAATCTTAGATCTGCTACAACAAATCCAAAAAATCCCATTTTGGGAGGGCGAAGGAAGGGTTGGAAGTTGTCACTTACCCTGCTGAAGAGCGAGGAGAGGCTGAAGAGGAGGAGACGAACGAATGAAGGGAGCTGGGCCTGGAGCCCTTTTATACTCCTGGCCATCCTTCCTCCTGGAAGTGAGACAGTCGTTGACCATTCCAGCTTCCCTGTTCATCCATCCAAACCCATATTTTTTAGCCATATGTGTCGCCTGGAATTTGCATTTCGCCTCATTACTGGAGATCACCACCCTCGTTCTGCCTCGTCACGGTTTAGCCTGGAGATAATCAAAGGGCTCCCATGAATTTGGATGAATTTGTCCTTCCCACAAACCTCGCCAGGGAGCCAAAAAATGCGGCCTCGTATCTGCTGGACTGAAATGTTCTGGGATTGACTCAGCAGCAGCTGATGCTGAATCAGTGCCGGAGCCCAAACCGAGCCCCGGCGTCGTGCCGGGGGTTCCATGGGGAAGGAGTTTGGAGCAAATTGGGGAAATGTCAGGAAAATTAGGGGTGTTTGTTCCTGGCTGCTGGACGGGCACGTGAGGAGCGTTTGGGGTGCCTGGGGCTCGGACTCCGCGTGCAAATCCCTCGTGGAATGGTTTGGGTTGGGTTGGGTTGGGTTGGGTTGGGTTGGGAAGGACCCCAAAGATCTCCCAGTTCCACCCCAAGCAGAGCAGGCTGCTCAGAGCTCCATCCTGCCTTGTCCTTGGACACTTCCAGGTTTGGGAAGTTCTCTTTTCATTCATTTGTTTTTTGTCATTAGCAGCGTTTTTATTAACATACCAATTAAAAAGGTTAAGGGGCAGCTCTGTACGAGGGACGGTGTCTCCGGGGCTGGCTGTGACCCCAAATCGACATTTCCCTGCTGCTGGAGCCCAGCTGGGTCCCGACCCTGGGCAGGACCCCCCTGCCCTGCCCCCAGAAGGGAGGGAGGGGTCTGGAGTTGGTGCAGGACCCTCGGAGGGTGTTGGAAGGGGAAAGGAGCCAGAATGAACCAAAGGTGAGAAAATTGAGGAGGAACAGAAGAACCAGCACAGAAACTGCTCCTCACTGGGCTGGTGGGAGCTGAGGGACTCGGGAAGAGACTTGGCTGAGGTGAAACCATTTTCTGGGAGGGACAGAGAGGAAGGGAGGGACGTGAAGATGAGGCAGAGCCTTGGGCAGCTGAACCCTGGCAGGAACAATTCCGGCGAGGAATTTGGGGAGGAATTTTTGCACGGTCTGAAATTGCAGCTCTCAGCCGAGGACCCGGCCACATTATCCTGAGAGCTGCCTAATGAGAGGATGGTGGATCCTGCCTGGCCTGTTCCCTGCTGCTGCTTCCTGACATCCTCAGGGATCCCGGGGCTGCTCAGGACTGGGCTCGGCCCAGCTGAGCTGGGACCAGCCCCGGGACGGTGACAGGGACCTCGGTTTGCTCTCTGTGCAGCACAAGGTTGAGATTTTAGAGCTGTTTCACCCCTGCAGGAAATTCCAGCAGCTCCTTTCCAGGCTTCCCTGGCATGAGAGCAATTCCTTGGAGAAGCAAGGCAGGGAATTGTGACTTCTCCGTGAAGGGCAGGAGAACACACACGGCATTTCCTTCCCAACACTTATTTGTGTCTCAATCAATTTATTAATGTAAATCCATTCATTAATTTACAAGGAATTAACGGGGCACAAGCAGAGGGATGCACTCCCCTGGTGCCTCCCGAGGGAAATTTTCCTTTGGAAATTTTCCTGCAGGTGTGAGAAGGGAGATCGAGGTGGGCATTTCCCACCCTGGGTGGTCGTGCCTGAACCATTTTTGGGGAGTGGGACGTGGATCATAACAAAGGGACTGGAGCAGGATGGAAACAGAGCCAGGGAAAGGCATTAAATGCATCGAAACTTTTGATTTTTTTTTTCTGCAGTGCAGAACTTTGGTGTTTTGGTGCAGCCCCGAGTGACCCTCGGAGGCAGCAGAGGTTTCTCAGCGCTTGTTTTAGAGCTTCAGCTCAGCCCTGGGGACTCAGTTCCACGTCCCCAGTGTCAGATTGTCCCCAGGGACTGTCCGTGGGTCCTGAGGAGATTTTTGGCTGGCTGGAATCCACGGAACTTTCCTACCCAGGTCGTGTCCGTGTCCTTTCTGAAAACATTCCCGTTTTTCATGACTTTATGAATTATTTCCAGAGAATCAGAGACTGATTTGGGTTAGAAGGAACCTTAAAAATCCACTTATTCCTTCCACTCTCCCAGGTGACTCCAAGCCTTGTCCAGCCTGGTCTCGGGCATTTCCAGGGAAGGCACAACCAGAAATTCCCTGGAAAACCCCCAGGTCCTCACCACCCTCACAGGGAATGGTTTCTTCCCAATATCCAACCTCAATTCCCCCTCTGTGCCCCTGACCCCATTCCCTGTGTCCTGTCCCTGTGGTTTTTGTTGAAAAATCCTTCTCCAGCTTCCCCGGAGCCCCTGCAGATCCTGGGACATGCTCTGAGGTCTCCACACAACCTTCTCTTCTATTCTCTTCCCATTTCTCTGTTATTTTATACTGGGAGGGCAAATATCGCTCCCAGAAACCCCAGCTTGAATTAATTTACCAGGGATGCCCTGATTTTCTTGATTTTCCCTTAGGGAACACCTCGGAGGCAGGAGAATCCCAACACTGGGGAGAAAAAAACGCCAGAAAAAGGCAAAAAGCACAAAACCCCCTCAGGATCCACCAGCGGACAGACAGATCAACACCAGGAAGTTGCAGGGTCACAAACTACAGATTTTATTGGGTTTTTTTTCAGACAAGTTGGAGCAGAACAGCCATGAAAAGAGCGGAACATCCCACATACCAAGAGGAAAAAAAAAAAAAAAAAAAAAAAAAGGAAGAGCGGGGGAAGAACTCGCCGGGCGCGGCTTCAGGGCACACGACAAACACGAGGCGAGGGAAAGCAGGAGGACAGGAGGAGTTCTGGGGTCTCTAAGCACGGGAGGAGGAGAATTCGGGCATCATCCACGTCCACATCCGTATCCAAGAGGGAATCAGCCAGGCTGGGCTCAGTTGCCGCAGCAGCCGCCGCCGCTGCCGCCGCAGCAGCCGCTGCTGTTGTTGCTGCTGATGGTGTAGCAGCAGGACATGGGCATGCAGCAGGACTGCATGGGCATGCAGCAGGGGGTGCAGCAGGGGGTGCAGCAGGGGCTGCAGCAGGGGGTGCAGCACTGCATGGAGCAGCACATGGGCCTCTTGCAGGTCTTGGGGCTGCTGTAGCAGCACACGGAGTAATTACTGCCACCGCCGCAGCAACCGTTGGGCATCTTGGTGGTGGGAGAGGAGGCAAAGCTGGAAGGGAAAGAGAGGATTTGGTTTTTTTTTTTCTTTCTCTGCTCGAATCTCCCCGAGGATGAGGCAGCTCAAAGCGTTATTATCCTTAAATCCATCCCAGAATAGCCAGGGACGTTCCTGCTCTCCTGGATCCCAGCACAGGCTCCTGTGCTCCTGGTATTTTATTCCAGCGCTGCTTCTGCCAGAGAGAACCCACCTGGGTGCAGCCCAAAACCGACCTCCAGTTCCCCAGAACCAAGCTGCGACCCCAAATCTCCAGTCCCAAACCAGACAGCCTAAAAAAATCCTGGAGAAGCCGAAGGAAACAGAATCCCAAAGTAAAACCGAGCAGCAAAACCCATCTTAAGAGAGTCCCAAAGTAAAGCCAAGCAGCAAAACCCGACTTACCCTGCTGAGCAGTGGAGGGAGGAGAGGAGAGGAGATGATCGAATGAAGACCCCTGGGCTCGGGAGGTTTTTATACTCTCCAAAGCCTCCTCCCCTGGAAATGAGGCATCCCTCGACAATTCCGTGACCCCTCACGCGCCTTCCTGCCGTGTTTAACCTCTGCCTCCTTCTGTTTGCTCACCCCCTCAATTGTGCCCCATAATTACTCGTCCAGAGGAGCAGCAGATGCAAATTCCCAAAATGGATTTGCGTTAATGGCACCCCGGAGCTCGGAGGAATTCCCAGCCCTTCCCAAGGAATGACCTTGGGACACCGGGGACGCTGAACAATGTGCCTGGGGGGGAGCCAGGTGCTGAAGCAGAGGCACAGCCACGCCTGGAACTCGGAGCTGTCGTTGCCCTGGTGTCCCCTGTGCCCCTGGCCGGGATCTCTGTGGGCCAGTGGAAATTTTGGGTCGATGGGGATGCTTTTACCCCCGCCTCTGTGGTCAAAGTTTAGGCTGAAATTTTCCCCTTTCTCAGCCTTGCTCTTGGGTCTCCCTTCAGGGTGCTCCCTCTTTTTTTAATTTTTGTTGTATTATTAAGATTTTTTTTTTCATTTTCACCCATGGAATGGACGGGTTGAGTGTAAATGAAGCAGCAGCGCACACGTGAGGGTTTTTTTTTCCCCTGAAAAATCTCGTTTTCTGAGATTACCTCCAAGTTTTCAGAGTCTGAGGACACTTGTGGTGACCACACTTGAGCGTTCACTCAGAGCAGGCACAAACAACCCCACGTTAGAAGACGCTGGTGGTGATTCCATACTGCGAGAGGGGCCCTTGGTGAAAAAAATGTGAATTCCAGGGTGCTGAGGCAGCACCAATTCATGACAAAAAGAGGGGGCCATCACATCCAGGAGGGTCTGACTGTGAGGCTGACGTGGTGGCAGGTGATCCCTGGTGACTGGGACAGGATCTGCCCTTCCAGGATGTGACCACGACCTCCTGTGACGTCTCGTGTCCCTTCCGGAATTGACAATTCCCTGGAATTGTCCCCAGGGGAGCATTGTTTTGGTCACCCAATAATCACCAAGAGTTGCCTGCAGGAAGCAACGTCCTCCTTGTGTAAACCCTCAAACATCTCCCCTGGATCAAGCATTCATCGCATTTTTATCGGGCTTTATTGTTGTCCTGTTGGCCCTGATGATCCCAGTCACAGAAATTCGGGGTGATTTGGGTTGGAAGAAACCCCAAAGATCACCCAGCCCAACCCTCCTGGATGGGCAGGGACAACTTCCACTGTCCCAGGCTGCTCCAATCCCTGTCCAGCCTGGCCTTGGGCACTTCTAGGGATGGGACACCCATGGAACACCCTCGTAGGGAAGGATTTCTTCCCCAAATCCCCAAATCCCATCTAAACCTGACTCTTCTCCAGGCTGAACCACCCCACCACGCCCAGTACTTGGAGCATTTTCCCTGTTCAGCTCCATTTAACCTGCACTTGGCACAGAAATAACACCTCCACAAAATTCCTCTTCCATCCTGGGATGTCTTTGGGAGATTCCTTGGTGGTGCTGTGATTCTGAGTTGCAGGACCTTTGTTCCTGCAGCTTTTCCAATGTCAGGTGAGGCCAGGTTGGATGGAGATCTGGTCTGGCTGGAGGTTTCCCTGTCCATGGATTTTAACATCCCGTCCAACCCAAAGCCATTCCATGACTCTGTGATTCAAAGACTGAATGAATATTCACAGAAATATTCTGATACGGGATATCCTCCTGCCCGTGCACTGTGCCCGATTTACAATAAATAAAAACCCTCCTCAAGACCCAGGCAACGATTCCAGAAGAGTCAAACATGTAGAGAAGAAGATTTTAATGTAGAGAAGAAGATTTTTAATGTAGAGAAGAAGATTTTAATGCATGTGAAGGTTGGAGGAAGCAAATCAAGCCGGAGCTCCAGGCATTTTCTCCAGACCTTCAATTCCGAGCTGAGCCCTGAATTTTAATAGCAAAGAAAGTCCCAGCTGGGGAGGGAAGGCATCGCTGACTCACGGGTTTGCTATTTTAGGAATGAGACTTTTAAATTGGATGCCAAGCTCGGGTTTCATTCCCCGGGCTCGTAATCCAGGAACGCGCAAGGGAAACGCTCTGCTCCCCTAAAAAAAAAAAAAAAATCCCGATTTCAGGGGGTTTCTAAGCTTTTATTTTTGGAAGATGGTGATGGGAAGAAGATGCTGCCCGCTGTCCAGTGAGTAGTGAATTCCTCTGGGAATGATTCCGAGATCAGGGATGAGCTCCTGTGCGTTTTCGCAGCTTCCTCCCGAGGGGCAGCTCCGATCTCTGGGACCAGGGAAGGGCTGGAGCTGGGCCAGGGAAGGTCTAGGTTGGATATTTCTAGAAAGTTCTTCCCCCAGAGGGTGCTGGGCACTGCCCGAGGCTGCCAGAGCTCCAGGAGCGTTTGGACAGGGCTGCCAGGGTGGGATTTTTGTGGAGGGGCAGGAGTTGGAGTCCATGATCCTGGTGGATCCTTTCCAAGTCAGGATATTCGAGGAATCGCCGATTTGTGGTGTTTGTGTTTGTGAAACCATCTCTGTTTTCAGATGGTGCAGTTCTGCCTCGCTCAGTTTGGAGCTTTAATTACTGCAGCTTCCAGCTTTGCTGTAAAATCTGAGCTGAGGTGAAAGATCAGGAGGGGCAAGAAGGGGTCAAGGAATGGTTTGGGCAGGAAAGGACTGCAAAGATCCTCCTGTTCCTCCCCTGGCCACGAGACACCTCCCACTGCCCCAGGCTGCTCCAAGCCCCAGTGCCCAGCCTGGCCTGGGACACTTCCAGGGGTCCAGGGGCAGCTCTGGGAATTCCATTCCAGAGGATCAGGAATGCTCCACCTGCTCCAGACATGACCGAATTTGTGCCAGCAGCCTGGACAGCTCTTTGTGTCCCAAATGTTCTGCTGTGCCACTGGGACACGTCCAGGACCTTGGCCAAGGGCACAAGGGGTGCCAGAATGAGGACAAACTTTGGGCAAGGTGACAAACTCTGGGCAAGGTGACAAGTCCTGGGCAAAGGTGACAAATCCTGGGCAAGGTGACAGATCCTGGGCAAGGTGACAAACTCTGGGCAAGGTGACAAATCCTGGGCAAGGTGACAAACTCTGGGCAAGGTGACAGAACCTGGGCAAGGTGACAAACTCTGGGCAAGGTGACAAACGAAGCACAAAGGCATTTAAGAACCACCAAAAGACCAAACGTTGCGTTTTGCTTAATGCTAAATTTTATTGTCTACAAGTCAAGAGAGGAAATGAAGAGTGGTCACAGATTTCCCAAACACCAGGAGCAGAACGAACACCTCGCTAATATCTAATGGCTGATAAATTCAGGGCTACTCAAGACAGCCAATAACTAAAGACAGTCGGTAACTAAAGGGCAGAAAGAAGCTTGAAAAGAAGAAGAGAATCGCTACGAATGGGCTCCATCACGATGAGAAAAGGAGCAGCTTTTCACCTCCGTGTGCCCGTTCCCAGAGGGGGAGCAGCTCAGCAGCTCTTCTTGATGCAGCACTGCTGGATGGGGATGCAGGGGGTGCAGATCTTCCTCACGGGGGTGTAGCAAACCACCATGGGCTTCTTCACCACGCACGAGCAGCAGGACACGGGCCCGCAGGGGCAGCAGCAGGGCCGGGGCACGCAGCACACGGACTTCTGGCACACCTTGGTGCAGCACACGGACTGCTGGCACGGGTCACAGCAGGACTGGCACGGGTCACAGCAGGGCTTCTGGCACGGGTCACAGCAGGACTGGCATGGGTCACAGCAGGACTGGCACGGGTCACAGCAAGGCTTCTGGCATGGGTCACAGCAGGACTGGCAGGGATCACAGCAGGGCTTCTGGCATGGGTCACAGCAAGACTGGCACGGGTCACAGCAGGACTGGCACGGGTCACAGCAAGGCTTCTGGCACGGGTCACAGCAGGACTGGCACGGGTCACAGCAGGGCTTCTGGCACGGGTCACAGCAGGACTGGCACGGGTCACAACAAGGCTTCTGGCACGGGTCACAGCACACAGTTTGGCAAGGATCACAGCAAGGCTTCTGGCATGGATCACAGCAGGACTGGCATGGATCACAGCAGGGCTTCTGGCACGGGTCACAGCAGGACTGGCATGGGTCACAGCAAGGCTTCTGGCACGGGTCACAGCAGGACTGGCACGGGTCACAACAAGGCTTCTGGCACGGGTCACAGCACACAGTCTGGCAAGGGTCACAGCAAGGCTTCTGGCATGGATCACAGCAGGACTGGCATGGATCACAGCAGGGCTTCTGGCACGGGTCACAGCAGGACTGGCATGGGTCACAACAAGGCTTCTGGCACGGGTCACAGCAGGACTGGCATGGGTCACAGCAGGGTTTCTGGCATGGATCACAGCAGGACTGGCAGGGATCACAGCAAGGCTTCTGGCACGGGTCACAACAGGACTGGCACGGGTCACAGCAGGGCTTCTGGCATGGGTCACAGCAGGACTGGCACGGGTCACAGCAGGACTGGCACGGGTCACAGCAAGGCTTTTGGCATGGGTCACAGCAGGACTGGCACGGGTCACAGCAGGACTGGCAC